ACTCTTGCGAAGAAGGCCCAAGTCAAGGGGCGCCGAAAGGATTGCTCATTGGGTCCCAAGAAGAAGATTGTGAAAACGTCAGTCTTGGATCTGGCCCTCACGAAGAGTAAAACGCCCTCTTCTGCATCTGAAAGGAAACCCAAGAAGGCTACCAAGAAGTCCCTGTCAAAGAAAGCACGAGCTGCAGCGGACAGAAAAGATGCGACATTGAACGCTGACAAGAAGGTTGCGAAAAAAACTGTCGCGCCGATGTCACCAGGAGCACGCCCGAAACCTTTGTCAGACACACCTGAGCAAACTCTGAAACTTGTTCCAACTTCACCTTCACAGAACGCCAAGTTTACGAGCCACAGAACATGCGGACCATTGAGCACAACAAAGGAGGGCGCTGGATCTTCGGAATCGCCAATGTCGGTGGGGGTAAAGGGTCGGAAACTTTCATCGGTTTCAAATGAGAAAAAGAAATTTGGTGCGCTTTCGCCTCACAAAAGAACGCAGGAGCAGGATATAGTTGATAGAACGGGTATTTATGACGTGTCTTGTAATTTGAGCGCCATGGATGAGAAGAGCGCTTCGCTAGAACGCCCCACGAACATCGATTGTGTGAATGATGCGCCCATTGAAGAGTTACAAATTTCAAAAGTACCGCGAGCCCCGACGCCCACTTGTCTGCGTCCGTCTTCACGCAGCCAAAAGGATATAGATTGGAGCATGACGCCTGCTCCCACCAATGCAGGATGGCCGAAATTGAGCTTACCAAGTCCAGCTGTGCCGCAGAAGACATTCAGTTCAAGCAACTCGCGCCCATCTGCCCAGCGAAAACTTGATAGTGGAATACAGTTACCTTACTGCTTGGATAACGCTCGTCCGACGTTGCGCTCTACTCTGTTGACCACTGACAACGACATGCTAACGAGAGGTATGAAGAAAGCGAGGGCTAGTGCTGCTTGCAACACTAGAGCTGCTTGCAACACTAGAGCTGGCGCAGTGGACAGTAAACGGTTGCCATCCGATGAAAAGATCCCTTCGGGCGATAAGATTGAGTCGGGTTCCAAATGCACGCCACCAGAAGAAGGGAAAGACAAGGCCTTCAGCAGCAGTGAGACGCTGCCTTCATTGAGATCCAAGGATTCAGAGGCCGATATGACGCAAGCTGATACAGCGCAATCCCCGGTATCCATTTCAGAGGAACAGGATGATGAGCTGGAAGCGAATGCTCCTGCAGCAAAGCTAGGATGTGAATCAACTGTGGTGCAGAGAAGGAAACCAAAGGCATCAGAACCTTTGTGCGTGAGTACGGCCGAAGACGCGCAAGAGACGACCGACATATTGAAATGCATATTTGTCAAGCTTCCTCTCCGTGACCCAGCGAGAGCAGCCCGTAGGCTCTCACGAACTGCAAAAAAAGACATGCTCGAGAAAGACGGGACCAAGGCGGGGCCAAAAAAACGCCCCCGCCTTCGCAGTCAACCGGCCAAGAAAGCAGCCAAGGCACCACCACCAAAGGGAAGCTCAATTTCAAAAGGCAAGGGGAGCCACCCTCTAGTTCCGAAGAAAGGGAAGGCGTCTTCGAAGGGTAATGCTGGTACAAAGGTTCTTAAACCCACCATCGCAAAGAGTGTTCCTCCTCGCGTGTCACGCGGAAAGCCTGTGCTACGACTAAAGCTGCGCGATAGAAGCAAGAAAGTCAGCATGCTGGAAGATGTACACACAGACGATCCACCGAGCTCCAGTCATGGTCCCGGTATCAAATCGTCGCAGCCGAAGCAGACGTTAATCCCTGCAGGAAATACCACTGCGGGTGACGCCCCTTGTAGGGAACCAGCGTTGGAAGTTGAGAAAGAAGTACGCCGATCTGCGCGAGTTACACGGGATGCACCTACGTTGGAACAGATCCTGGGGTCTGGAAATACTCGCGCTCCCATTATGCCACCAGAGGACCTGCTTTCAAAAATGCGAAAGCTCAAGTGCAGTTTGTGCTTGTCGTCGATAGAAATTGGCGACCAAAAAAAGCATCCATTCTTCCAAATTCGATCTCTTCATCTATGCGAAACTTGTCAGGACCATATTTCAACAAGTTCGCATGCTTTTGCGGCCATATCGAGTGGCGCACTTTCTGGTGAGCACTGCGGTCCTTGGAAACAGTCCTCGGCCCTAGCGTTCGTCACGGAAGGACTTGTGAGGAATCTCCGGCCGAGTGAAAGAAGAAAAGCCGAGCTCACGGCGGCGCACGATAGAATTGTACTCCAATCCAAGGAGAGCGTGGGGAAGCGCGTCGAAGCACTATCCGTGCCTCTCGAAATGATTGCAATCATACAGCTTCTGCTGTTGGAAATCGGGGTAGCTTTCAAGGCGGGTGGTATGGTGTGGCCCGAGGGCACAATTTCTCTACCAGAGAATGATGATACCCGCAGTATGATTAGCAATGTGTTGCCACTTTCGCTGGATGATATTCGAAGTGGTCGATCGGCAGGAGAACGCGCATGGGAGTCGGTGTTTGGAGAAAATGAGAGGTGCGCTTCGCTAACGTCATGTGCGATTTTTGGAAAGGTTTTGGATCTAGTTGGCGTAGCAACGGAACACGTGGGGGGCTGCGGTGGTAACACATCGGATGGAAGCGGAAAATGCTGTGTGAGGGTTGATCAAACTTCAGTGAAGGCTGTTTCGTCGTGGGCAAGCAAGTCCTCGACGGCTGCACAGCGCATCTTCAAGGAACGGCCAGATGACGTCACTGAGGAGCACCTGGGACATCACGAAATCTGTTGCGTCTGTATATTACCACTTGTTCCAGCAACGTTTCCGTTTCGTTACTCAAAGTGTGGTGGCTGTCGCAAGACATTTTGTTCGGTTTGCTTATCAAATGTGCTGGGCTCATCCGAGTATGTGCGGGCGTTATGTGAAGATTCGTACTCCTGTGTTGGGTGTCGTTGGAAACAAAAGCAAAGTTTCCTTGCCAAAGGACAATGGGGTTTAAAGAGTATATCTAGCACAAAGAAGACGACAACTGTCACCGAAGATCGCCGCTCAACGCTTCCTCTCCTGTTGCTATCGTCTCCAATCCGCAAGAAGCTGCATCAAGTACGAAACCACAAGAAGCTCCAATTCGAAATACGGTTTGCACAGTTGTGCGACTCGCTCAATTACCAGGGTTGCACTAGTCATGTGCGGGACAAAGGGTGCTCGCCCAAGCCAATTTGCTTCCAATGTTGTTCATTGGACAGTGACGATACAGGGACGGAAAGCACCGAATCAGGAATATCAAGAGCTCCTTTTGTGACGTGTAGCGGCAAGAAATGTTCAACCGTGATGCATCGCCACTGCGTCGAAGGATACAAGCCGTCGAAAACCCGTGGCCGATCAGGCATGGTGTGCAAGCAACACAAGTGTTCTGTTTGCGCCGGCAGGGACGAAACACGACTCGTCAGGTGCCGAACGTGCCCAGTGACGTATTGTCGTGACCACGCGCCGCCAGCGCCGGACATTCATATTTATTCGGACAAGTTCATTGCTTGCCCCACGTGCAAGCCTTATCTGCACTTTCCGCGAATGTCAACGCAGAGACCTCCGCCGCTTCCGAAACGTATATCACATGCAAACAACATTGCCATATCATTTGCACTTGACCAAAGACAGAGACAAGCCGTGGCTGACAGGGCTGTTTCAAAACTGTATGACGGTGAAGACAAGATGTCAGCAACATCTATTGAGAGAGGAGATGTCTTCGATCTACATCGTACTTGTTTTCGGAAAGTATGATCTGTCGGCGGCACGTTTGGCTGGCAACGAACGAAAATTTGTCTCATGATGCATCGTTGCTGCCGTGGGACAAATTGTTGTCGTGGGCACCCCACTTCCTTCCCATCACTTAACTTGACACATTTTAACTACTTATTTTAACACTGACTTGTAGAGAGGTCTGTTAGGTAGCTTGACAATAGAACATTTACTGAACTAAAAAGCAGCGACTTGCCAGTGCCGCATGTATGT